AATATATATATATATGTAGATCAGGTTAAAGCAACAAAAAAATTTTAAAACTAAGTACAAACTAAGCCAAATTAGCAAAAAATTTAAACTAAGTATAGATTAAACTGAATTACAATAATAAATAATTTGTAGATTCTTAATATATATATTATAAAATTTTAATAAAAATTAAATATAATTATAAAAAGTTTTATTAGTAACAATTTTTTATAAAAATTTTAATTAAAATATAAATTATATAATAAAATAATCTATATATATTTTATTCATAAAGATAAAATTTTTATTTATAAAAAACTTTTATTAATTTAATTAATTTTAAACTTTTAAATAAAAATTTTTTTTTAACTAAAATACTTTAGTTTTATAAATAAAAAATTATTTTAATATTTTTTTTAAAAGAAGTTTATTCTTTAGTTTTTTATTTTAGTAATATATAATTAAGTATATTAGTAAATTAATATATTATTAGATATGATAATCTAGTAAAGTAAATAGGTTGTCAGCTCTTAAGTAGCAGGTCTAAGGTTCAATTTTTATAAATAATAAATTTTGAAAATTATATTTATATTATAGTAACTGTTTTTTGTCAATCAATTGAATTTATGTATCTATAATCTTAGATACATCAGACTGAAACCTATTTGATTTTGGAGCTCAAAGCATTTATATAAAATGTAATGTTATATATATATAGAGAAATATAAAAAAATAGTATTGTAAAAGCTTTAATGCAAATCTGTAATAAGACCACTGAGCATAAAAGACTAAAAAACTGAGAAGACAGAAGCCTACTTAGAAATCCTAATAAAAAGATAACACAAACTTTTGATAATATTGTTGGACTAATGAAAGTTTATGAAACACCTTCATAAAAATTGTTAAATAAACTGGATGACAAGATATATAAAGAAACATATAACCAACTAGACTGTTAGAATCATTAGAGAAAAAGAATATATAAATATATCATACTGGGTTATCTGAATTTGAAGTCTAAAAAGTTTGTTAGTTCTAAGCTGTAGTTAGTAAAAAATAATAAAAAAGATATTAAAAAGATAAGTATCAGAGTTTGAATAAACTTTACAAAAGTAATAATGTCTTAATAAATAATTTTAACTGCAAGTGTTAGTCTTAGTCATAGCATCAAAGCAGGTTAGTAATTAAATGAAATATGACTCATTTTGGTAAGTTTATTTTGAGAATAAAAATAGTCTAAAAATTATAGCCTAAGGTTGAAGCAAAAGAATCTGGATCAAATGATCTGGTAAAGTTAATACTAAAGTCAAACTAAAGAGTTTAAATAAAACACCTAAGCAAGAGTATTAGTTATAGCAACTGTTAAGAATCTTTGAGCAAACTCTTTAAATAGATAATATAGAAAAGTTATATATATAATTAGTTGTATACTTGTTTGATAGTTTAATATAAACATATATCTATATGAACATGTATCTGATATAAGTATTAATAAAAAGTTAAAAGACCAAAGAGATTATCTTAATACTAAAAAAAATTAAATTAATATATTAAACTAAGTAAGTAATAATTAGAGTTAATTTATATTTTTAGCTAAAATAATTATATAATCTCTAATATATAGATTCAGTAAAAGAAAATTTTTAATTAAACAATATAAATTTATTGAGCTATATAGTATATTGTTTATTTATAAAAATTATAGATATAGAGTCTAAGTTATTATTAATAAAGGTTAACAAAAAAAACTATAATATTAAAGATATTTTTAGCTTAGTTTTCATATATATTTATATATTTTTTTATAATTTGATAATAGATATTTAGAAATAAATTTAATTTTATTTTAATAATTTTAAGTTAGTTATATTATCTGTTATAATTCTAATAAGAATTTTTTAATAAATATAAATATTTAAAATTTTTTGAGATAGATTAGTTAATGAGATTTTTTAATTTTATTGTTTGTACAGATTTTTTAGTTATTGTTTTTTTTATTATTTTTTTAAATCTTATTTAATTGTAAAAGTATATAAGCATATAATAAGTATTTTCTAATATGTTAAACTATTTTGTACAAAATGAATTAGTATAAAATTTTAGATTTCTGTTATATAAATTAAAGTATATAAATAGTTTAGAGGTTAACATTTTGATTTTAAATATCTTTAAAGAAAATTTTTAAAAGTCAGTATTTTGATTAAAAGGTTTATTTTAAAAACTAAAATATTCAAAGATAAGTTTATAGTTGATATTAGAAAGACAGTTTGGGATATATTTAATGTATTTTTAATTATTTCAAGTAATATAATTATTTTTGCTTATTATAAAGTTTTTGGTATTTGGTAAATTGTATATATAGTTAGTGTATTTAGTATATAGAAAGCAAAGATATTGTTAAGTACTATACTAGAAATCAGATTAGTATAAAATTAGTAAAAATTATTTTTTATATTAATCTTTTTTTTATTAGGTTAATTTGAAGTTGCAGATCTTTTATATTTACTATAATATTAAAAAGGTAGTTATACTATTAAATCTAATTTAAGCCAAGATTTGTAATTTATTACTGTATATTATTTTAAATTTTTATAATAAAAAACCAAACTTTTAACAAGAATTATAAATAATTAAAAATATATATTTAAAATTTTAAAAAATTATATATATATTTTTTTAAATAAATTAATATTTAATAATTTTTTATTAAAATTTATATATATAATTTAGTGCATTCACTTATTTGATTTATAAATAACAGTAATAAAAACTTTTGTATAAAAACATATTTTGTAACTATTATATATTAATAAACTAAAAATATATATATATTTTTTTTAAATTTTAATTTATAATTTTATAAAAAAATTTAACTTATAATTATTTTAAAAATTATATTAACCTTAACTCTAATACTAACCTAACTAGATGTTGGAACCGGTTTTAATAATTCGGGTTTATTACATGAACTTCGCGATATTTTAGGATTTATTAAAATTTAATTGAATAAATTTCTAAAATATCCCAAAACTCACGGGATAAACTCGAATTATTAAAACCGGTTCCAACCTCTAAACCTAATTCTAGCAATCATAACTGACGATGAAATAAACTGTTAGTAAATAAACTGTCAGTGGATTAATTGTTAATAAAATAAATGAATCTGAAATGGGTCTTGTTGAGAAAAGGGTTATTGGAATTATAAAATAGGAAAAATAGCAATTTATGAAAGTGGACTTCAGGAAAGTGTTATATACTGTATACAAATTTAGTTATTACCTATTTAAAGATTTTGTTTAAAAATTATTTATTATTAGTTATATTTAGAACCAGTTTATACGTAGATCTTTAAATTTTATAATTGATTTTTTTTTTTACAAAGTTTTACTAAATCTTTCTAAACAAGATCAAGATTTTTTAATTATTTTTGGATTTTTACAAATTATCTTTAATGTATTGCTATCAAATTACCAATATTTTTATATATGATAAATTGGGATCCCTATTTAGTCTATTCTATATTAAGTATCTATTTTTTGAATCTAGTATTTATAGTAATACTATTAAAAATTCTTGTAATTTCCCTTAAAATTTAAGACCGATTAATTAGTTCAAAATTTCAATCTGACAGTTTAAATGGCACACCTGGTAACAGCTGTGATATAGTTGCATTGACTTTTGCAGGGGTTATTTTCGCTAAAGTGAAAATAAACCAATCCATTATTAAAAGCAGATAAAAGCGATATTGGCTGAAAGCTCTTTGCAAACAGTCTGGCTGGTAATAGTATTATTGAGGGAATACATTATTATTTATATAAGTTGTACAACCATTTTTTGATCAAAGATTTGCGGGTAAGTTTGCCTGCAAAGATTTTTGGTCGAAACTATTTAGTGACCTTTTAGATTTTTAAATATAAATAACGATAATCATGATGAAATAGAAAATTATATGCGCAATTGTTATGGTCACTTTGTTATACTTAATTTTCTGCATATAAAAGATCATTACATAACAACAATAAGTCACTCATGAACAAAGTCTCCAAAATGGCAGTTTGTACAGAAAAGCGGCTGTGTAATTGACTAAGTACATTTAAAGAAAATTTACTACGCATGTAAATAAAATAAAAAGCAATTCATTTTTTTTGTCAATATAGATGGAATTTATTTTTTGATTTTGCTCTAACGAAGAATAGCAAAGATAATGCATTATTTGGCAAAAAAATAGTCTGCAATGAAATGCTATGTTAGCTCGTTAGTTTGTCACACTAATTAATGCCTTTACTCTGTGTCGGTATGCGAACATCTTTATTTTAAAGAGGGTCTTTTTTGGAAAGTTTTAAAAGAGGTTCAAGTCTTCGGCCGAATTTTGAAACGCATACACAATTATCCCTAATTGATACTAAATTTACGTCACTCCTAATATTATCGTTATCACATATGAGTTGAGATCTGTAATTTCTATATACTGAACATGTGTATTTCCTTCATTGTTGAGAATTCCATTACTAATCCTATGTGATTAAAATAATTTCATGCTTTTAATAATTCCGTATATTTACACACTCAAACGCCCATACCAATTTATCTTGTATGAGACAATTTCGACACTTTTAATGGCTATTGATTTGAAATGACAATTAATAACACGTGGCTATGATAAATTTCACGTAATAAAACCCTGTTCAATCAATTTTTCGGAACAGCAGAATGATCAAAAATGGTATTAAATATAAAGGATAACGCCAACAGATTTTTTGATAGTGAAACAGATGAATAATGGCCAACAGCGTTGTTTAAAACAGTCAAATTTATAGAGTTTGCTAGCATTATATTTGCTGAATTGGGATATAGTGAATGCATGCTCAAAAAAATTGTGGAGTGTTTCATAATGGCCAAATGCGTTAAAATAAAGCATAGACTAATAAGTGCATATTTAGTATGTTCATTCATTATGTACTGTACATATAAATACCTATTGTCCATTGTATTCTTCGTCATAACACCAAAAGTCCTTCATAATGTCAACACCTTCCTTTCATTCATTAATTCCATCCGAAATCACAGCTAGTACCGCCTACAAACTCCTTGACTTGAGTCGAATTTTTCCACCACTCCCGATTAATGTTCAAAGATATATATCACCAAATAACCGAAAAACTTTTAAATCGTTTAAATCTCTTCGAAACCAAATCTTCCGTGAAAATGTTAGACAGGAAGCTAAAATGCAAGGCATTGACAGAAAGTTGATCAAAGGACTTTTTCGGCTGGTCTGGAGGAAATCAACAGTCGAAGAAAAACATCAATATTTACATTTTACACAACAAACGATAACAATCATTAATAATATTCTTTCTCCTTCTCCTCCTCCTCCTATACATCATCTGACGACTCCACCAAACGTAAATTACTCGTATATCAATGATTTCATAAACGGTGTGGAAACTATCATTGATGACGAAGAGGATCCCACACAAGATTTTGATTTTCTCGATGGACAATTTAATATTTTTTGATAGCCGTTTATAAGTGGATTATATAAGTGGATAGAGGCGAATGAAAAAAAATCATTATCGAAATTTTTATTATTACTTTTTCTTTTTTACGAAATCTGGCAGGTTACACTGATAGAGATTTACAACAATGGTGTAAAATTCTACTATAACGCTTCCTTTTTATGCTCTTTTTTTTTTTTTTAATTTTATTCGAGTCTTGTGGATAATTTTATCAAAGTGTTTTTTCGTGAGTTTCTGTGATGTTTTGCTTATAATGTTTCGATAGGCTACTTTGTCATGTTTCTTCGTTAATTAATATTTTAAAACATGAATATTTTAAAAAAAGTTAAAAATCGCTTAAAAAAAAACAAATTGCTGCAAATACGTATATACTACTAATTGATATTATAACTAATTTGAGATCAGTTTTTTTTGCCGTTGATGATACGGTCAGTCAAATAATTGACATCATTGGCATAATTTGATAGATTTCTAAGATCAGATACTTAATGCAGTTCGATATGAGTGCGTGAGTGAAAACCTGAAAACCAATCATAGTAAATTATTAAATCGGTTTCCAGGTTTTCACTCTCACGCACTCATATATGGTATAGTAATACCTCCCTCTCTAAGCGCACACACGCTCTAAGTGCACACTCCAGCCTGGTTCCAAATACGGAACTTAGTACTAAGTGCACTCCTCTATGTTCGGCATGTGCATAAGATTTAAATTCGGGATCTTATTCATATTGATTGGACAGATAGTAAATTCGGGCTTTAAGGGTAGAGTCCAATGTAGATCATTTGTCATATGACTTTGATGGTAAATTTTTTTTATTTTTAATATTTTAAAAATTTTTATTAAGTTAATTATTTTAGATTCTTAAGTAAAGTTTGTAGAATGAGTTTTTCTGATTCTAATGGTAGTAAAATCATTAAAATTGGTTAAATATTTAATAAGAAATATGGATTTAAAGATTAGATATTATTTTTGTCATATGATAATCATGTGATATAAACCAATCAAAATGCTTGATTTTGTGTCATCACAGGGAATTTGAGGTCACCACAGGAAACTTTACAACATATACAAGTATATTTTTTTTTAATATTTTGACTATTAAATTTTATATCATTGTAAAAAGCATGTTTTAATATATATATATTATAAAATTTTAATAAAAATTAAATATAATTATAAAAAGTTTTATTAGTAACATCTTTCAATTTTTTATAAAAATTTTAATCGGACATGCAAATCATATGACAAATGATCTACATCGGACTCTACCCTTAAGTTTTTATACTGTAGAAGTTCTAGTTTTGTAAAAACGCTTTTTTGAATCTGTACTTTAATTGCTAGCATCTAATTTATAGATTGAAATGAGACAAGATTGCTATTGTATAATTAAGTAATCTAGCTAGGTTGAAATTATTTAATATGTCTAATCACTAATTTTAACACACTAGACACGCTTGATACAATTAATATTTTTATCAAGGATTTGGATTTTTTTTTATATTTATGCAAGTGATTTAACTTCAAATTTGTTGTAAAATCATAGTTTTTGAATTGTTTATTGATACTTTAGAGCATAGATTAAAATACTCAGTATGTTTATAATTTAAACTGTATATATAAGTATTATAATCAAATGAATATTCAGATATTTAAAATGAAAAATAATTCAATTCAAAACCCAAGTTATAGATTAAATAGATAAGGTTTCAAATGCAGATATTATATGATATATAAAAAAATAGATAACAGAAACTGAAAGTACTTAAACTGCAGAATATTGGATCAAATTCTAATAATACTTACGAAAAACTAGAGCATATAGTAAAAGACTTAATATTAGAAAATCCAAATTATATTACATCTAGTAATCTATTACTTAATAATCAATACTAAAAGTCTTAAAAATAGTAAAAATATATTTACTCAAAGAAGGAACTACAGACAAATAAACAGAAAAATTTACAACAATAAAAAAACTCAGATTTATTTTAAAAAAAAAATAAATAAAAAATAAAAAAACTAAAAAAATTAGTTAAAATCAAAGAAATTTAAGTCTTAACTGTCGAAAAAAAATAAATTACTAAAAGAAAAAAATAATTAGAAAAAGACAAATAAAAATTTGAAACAATAGTTAAACAAATAAAAAAATTTAATATCAATATATTATAACATTATAAAAAACCAAATACATATATATTAAAAAAAAAACAATTATTATAAAAAATAAAGAAATAAAACTATAAAAAAATATAAAAAGAATTTAAAAACTGCAATAAAAAATACTTTATAAGATATTTTTTTTTTTTTTTTTTTTTTTTTAATCTTTGGCGACAATGCCAGTTGGTTTTTATTAGCTTAATCTTTGATATAG